AATTCTTGAGTATTTACTGCCTGATGAGTGGAGTCGCCCTCTGAGAAGAGGCTGTTGCCCTCAAGGGTCACATGTTCTGGTGGGAGAATCAGAACTTGGTTTCTAGGTGGGTCCTGGAAACCGGGGAAACACTTTGCAAGGCGTATGATTGTCTGACACTATGCTGTACTCCCGGAACCAACAGAAAACAATATTGAATGCAAACTATTTAAAAAATAAAATGAGCCCTGGCTGGTGTGGCTCAGTGGATAGAGTGTTGGCCTGTGGACTGAAGGGTCCCGGGTTCGAGTCCAGTCAAGGGCACATGCCCAGGTTTCAGAGGGATCATACTCACTGAGTAGGTTGGGTTAACCCGATTTTGGTGGTGGTAGGATTTGACTTCTCAAGCCAAAATAATTTGACTTAAAGATCAAGAATGGAAATAAAGACTTTTGAACAGGAGAACAAGCTTCTGTTTAAAGTAGGGACTTTTATCTCCATTTCACACCTGAGAAAAGCAGTGCTTTTATATTGTCTTCTCAAATAATTCTCAAAGGTCACACAGCTGGTGGAGGTTGGACCCGCCAGACCCCAGAGTCCACACACACGCTCGGCCTGTGTTATCTGCAGAGCACAGGCGGGTCTTGGGATCACCAAGGCTTCACCCAGCTCTGACCTTTTGTGACCCTGAGAGTCTACACATGACTGCATGTGTTTGTCAGCGTCACTCCCTGCGCTAACCGGGTAGGGGGAGAGGGGAGACTTTGGGTAGGTCACTTCCCAGTCTCTCTGAGGCCCAGAGAAAGCAGGGCAGGAACCCAGCCAGACCTCCATGGTCTGCACAGCAACAGTCCAGACAAGTCCCACATGCTGCAGAGGCTGTCGGGGAGTTTTGGAGCTACAGGTCCCCGGACAAGCCTTCCCTCCGAAGTGGAAGCCGCAGGGCTGATCGCAATCCGGGCAGGGTGACAGCGCAGCTGCAGCCACCGCACAAGCTGACTCTTGTTACTGCCCCAATCTTCCAGCACAGGCGGGAGAATGTGAGCGCCTGGTGTGTGCTGAACTTTTCCATTCATTCCTTTGTTCATTCCTTCATGGAACATTCAGCAAATAGTTAAGCACCTACGGGCTGACAGCAACAAACAAAACCCGAGCCCCTGCCTTCATGGACCTTACGGTCCCCTCTGGGAGGCGGACAGTGCTTAACACAGTGTCAGGGAGCAGTGGGTGCTCTGAGGAAGAGCGAAGCAGGGAGAGGGCACAAGGACAGGGCAGTCCAGGAAGACTTCTCCAGGGAGGGGTGTTTGAACAGAACCTGGTAAAGCCAGGGAGCAAGCCCTAGGAATGTCTGTTCCAGGCAGAGGGAACAGCAAGTTCATGGCCCTGGGATGGGGTTGTGTGGGGATCAACAAGGAGACCAGTGCATGAGAGAGTCAGGCAGGGGAGTGGGAGGAGCAGAGACCACAGAGGGGGGAGGCACTGGCCACCAGCCTTGCAGGCCACCGTAGGAAGATAGGATTGTGTTCTTGCCCGGCCCTAAGGTATGTTTGAGGCGTGTTCCTGGCTGCTTGGCCTCTAAATCTGCAGCCTTCCCAGAGAACCTTTTGATCTGCCCAGTGTCCTTCTATACTTAGCCTCTTTTCTGGTGCTGTTAGTCACCAGTAGTTCTGCTGTCTTCGAGCAGGAGCCCCCATGCAGAGCTTCGTGGGGAGGAGAGGGGGACCAGCTACATTTAGAACTGAATGTTGGCCAGCTTAGAAGTGAAATACAGTTGCGTTTAAGATTAGAAAAGATATACCTGGATATTATATTAAAACTAGAGGCCCCGTGCACAAAATTCATGCACATAGGCGGAGCGGGGGGAGGAAGGGGTGTCCCTCAGCCTGGCCTGCACCCTCTCCAATCTGGGACCCCTTGGGGATGTCCGACTGCCAGTTTAGGCCCGATCCCACACATCCCTCTCACAATCCAGGACTGCTGGCTCCTAACCGCTCGCCTGCCTGCCTTTGTCCCTACCTGATTGTCCCTAACTGCTTCTGCCTGCCAGCCTGATCGCCCCCTTACTGCTCCCCTGCTGGCCTGATTAACGTCCAACTGCTCCCCTGCTGGCCTGATCGCCCCCAACTGCCCTCCCCTGCTAGCCTGATGGCTCCCAACTGCCCTCCCCTGCCGGCCTGGTTGCCCCTAACTGCCCTCTTCTGTTGGCCTGGTTGCACCCAACTGCCCTCCTCCGCCAGCCATCTTGTGGTGACCATCTTGTGGCAGTCATCTTGTGGTGGTCATCTTGTGACGACGTGAGGATGGCCATCTTGTGATGACGTCGCGTGACACCACCTAGGCTTTTATTATATAGGATGTTTAAATTTTGGTTGGAAGGGTCCCACCTTCACCATTTTTGTCTCCCTCGTCACCTGCCAGTTGAAGGCCGACGCTTGACCTTTCTGGTCTCACCTGTGGATTTTTGGTCGCCA